GTCATTGGTAATTTCCTTGCATTTGGAAGCAAGCAAACAAAAAGTAACGTTTCTTGACTTTGAGTAATTTTTCCCATGGAAGAAAAGCAACTGTTTGATGAAATTAAATAATTAGTGGCTCAATTCAAACTGAGAAAAATACATTGAGATCTAAATTGTCTTGGTGGGTAGTCTGACCAGACAAGCTCCCCTGCTTGGCTCTGGAACTTTTCGCTTTCTCTGCACAGACCCTGTGTAATGGTGGAACTCTTTGTTTAAGGATTTCACCCAGGCCTGCTGGTGACTTTGCTGGCTTGAGTTATGAGATTGCTGGAACAGCCTGAGTACCTTCGCTGGAGATAGTGCAGCAGGTGGTTTATGAGCTACCGGGTAGCTTTTAGGATTGTGCTTAAAGTTGACTGGCAGCAAACCGAGCTCTTGCTCACCTGTTTGGTTTCACCTTTCTCTAAAGCCGCCTTCATCTAACGCACTCACAGAACCAGATGCCATTTGCTGTTCCCTTCTGTGAGTTAATGAACTACCTAGAATAATTTTTAGTGTGTTGGGTTTAGTAAGTGACTTATTAACATGGCATCCAGCTCTTATGGAAAAATGATTGCCCTCAGTACATTTTCATGACATGCCCTAGTGTCCTTCCCTACCCATACTCTTGAACATCCTCTGTGGTTTGGCTTTTCCCAGTCATTTGCTACACAGTTCACCTGATTTAACAAAGAAAAAACATTTTAAAAAATTACCTTAAAAGCAGACAAAGAAAGATACATACACACATGCATTTGCATTTATTATTTTACTCCCCAAATGCTTGAGATCTGGGGATTCCATCCAGGTCTTCCACAGAAGCGACAGGGTATACTTCCTGTGGCACAATTTAGCACAAAGCCAGAATTCTGAGCAACAGCCAGGAGTTGAGCTCACCATTCCAATATGGATGTGAATAAGCCAAACACCTGGTTCAAGATGTTTGGATTGGTGGGCAAAATCTTCCCAACGTTGTATTCTAAGATCGTTTTGTATTGCTATGTCACATATCTTACTCTCAAATTCACAAATATTTAGAAAAGATTTGTGACTTGACAGAATTTTCTTTGAAAAATTCATATTATGAAAAAAGATTATACATGGATTTAAAAGTCTTTTGGTACCAAAATAATCTTTATTTTTAAAATCCCACTGTTCTACAAACTCTTTGAATTACTTTTATAACTAGGGAATTTTTGAGCTATTGAGAAATTCATGAGAAAAATAAAAGGTTGCCATTTAAAAAATAAGATGGTTATATTCCCTGAAACATATATATCTCAAGTAATTTTGATTCAGTTCATATTCCAGTTAAATTAGTGAATTTTGGAGATGTTACAATGTGTAAAGTGCGATACAAGAGAGAATAAAGTGCTTTCTAGGCTTAGAGGAAATAAGGTGGGGGTACATTAATCCCATCATGTGAATTTTTAAGATCCATTGATTTATATTAGAAAGGCAGAGTTACAGAGGGAAGGAGAGACACACAGAGAGAGCTCCTCCATCCACTGCTATACTCCCCAAATGGCTGCAATGGCAGAACTGAGCCATTCTGAAGCCAGGAACCAGGAGCTTTGCCAGTATTACATGTGGGTACAAGGGCCCAAGGATTTAGGCTATCCTTCACTGCTTTCTCAGGCCAGAAGCAAGGATATGGATTGGAAGGGGAGCAGCCAGGATTTGAACCAGTGTCCATATGGGATACTGGCACCACAAGTGGAAGCTTAGCCGACTATGCCACAGTGTCAGCCCCTTAACATGTGAATTAAGGGAGCTTCAAATATACCAATATCATTTGTGATCTAATTCCTCTCCTTTCCCATGACCCTGAGAGGAAACTATATGTGCTGTGGGCACCATGCTCTATGGTGGAAGACACAAAGCCAAAAGGTTTGTGACGCAATCAAGAACACACTGTAGCTAAAATCCAAGAACTTTTATTTTCTAAAGAGGGTTTTCTCGATAAAATTTTATTGGCTCTGCAGATTTTAAGAAGTGCGATATTTTGTAGCCCTATGGTTGATGAATGTCACTTCACCTGCAGCAGTGTATGTCCATGTCACTGTTACTGAGTTGTTAACTCTGGTTGACTGTTGTCCAGGATCTCCAGCATTCTTCCGTTCCATGTGCACGGACATGCTCAGAATGCTCGAATTGCAGAAGGCGATTCTGTGTACGCTCAAGCATGTTCTCTTTTTAAAAGGGACAGGGAGAGAAGGTTTGAAAATTGTCTCCTGGGTTTGCAGGAATCCTTACCTAGCATTGGCAGAGAGTGGTGCAGTGTCTGACAGTGCTACCTGGTGGCAGTTAGTTCGGCTTGTGTTGTCCCACTTCCTGCTCGCTCTCACCCCCACATCCAGTGGCACACATGCACACACCCACCTGCTCATCAATCAGCTGAGGTATATCTGAGATGCGATTAAATGGAAACATCCTTGCAGGCAGCGATTCTTTCCTTTGCCTCTGGAAGAAATTAGAAACCAAAAGAATCCAGGAGAAAAAGACATGACTAAATATTCAGCTGGAGTTTGGTGGATCTTATTAGAAAATCTTAGGTTCTCTATATACTCCTGTGTTTGCGATCTACTGCAACTTACAAGCTGTTAACTTTAGTTGACTAAGCTGTTTATATCACTAACTAATCAATAACTATTCTATTACAGAATAACATCATAGCTGTGGTTTTTAATTATGTTTTGATACCGGAATCCCTTAAAACTTACAGAAAAGTTAGCAGGACTAGTACAAGGAACCCCTGGAAATAACTCACCCACTGTTACCACTCTCTCTTCCTTCAGAGTACATTGCGACACCATTTCTCTTTACCTCTTGATATGAGACTGCATTTCCTAATGATAGGAGCATTCCCTGAGACGAACACACTACAGTTACCAAAATCAGGAAATTTATCAGTGACACACTCAATTGTTGGTTCTGCAGGTCATAGTCAATTTCTTAATTGACTCAATAATGTTCTTTGCATTGATTTTTTTCCTGAGTCTGCTCTGTAGTCCCTCTAGGTTCTCCCAAACTGGACCAGTGTCCTAGCCCTTCTTTGTTCTTCTCAAGGGTTGATGTTTTTGAAAAGTACAGAAAAGTTATCTGAGAATGTCCCTCAATTTTAGTGTGCCTGACTTTACTCACGATTTAAACATGCAAGTGTAACATTTGTCAGGAATTTCACAGAAAGATCCTGTGTTCTTCTTAGGAAATCACACCAGGGGACACATCCTGTTGCTTTGTGCTATTATTAGCGATGCTGGGTCCATCGTTCATCACTTGTTTAGGGTAGTGGCCAACAGATTTCTCCATTATCAAGTTACAATTTTTATCTTTATAAACAATTTTCTGAAGATTTTTTGTAATTAGTTTCTCATCAAATTTTTATCTTGTTTTATCATACATTGATGAGTGTTCACGACCATGATTCTTTTTAAAATTATCAGTAAATAATCCACTGTGAGGACAAAGAGATGTTCCTGAGATGGCCTTAATGGCCAGGGGTGGTCCAGGTCACTCAGGAGAAAACCTGGACAGGAGGTCTAGGCTCCTGGCTTTGGTCTTAACCAGTCCTAGTTGGAAAGTGACCCAGGAAATGGAAGATCTGTGTGTGTGTGTGTGTGTGTGTGTGTGTGCACGTGTGTGTGTGTGTGTGTGTGTTCCCACCTCTCTGTAACTCTACTTTTCCAATAAGTAAAATCAACTTCAAAAAAAAGGACACATTCTTAGGTTAAGTGAATGATTTAACAATTGAGCTTGGGATTCCTTATATTATGCCTTTCTTAGTTCCTAAGAATCCTAAAGGGCGAAATATGTTCATTCAACTAATTACTAATAAATGTAAATCAGCATTTATTTACCCTTCCTTTCTTTCATGCTTCTTACTTTGTTAGTTTTTTAATGAGATAATATCCAGTCATACTGTCTTGCTATAATATCCTTACACTTAAAAAATATAGGTTTATTTAAAAATGATTCAGGAAAAATATTTTCAATTTGAAATTATAGGATCATGGAAATGAACATTATGGTTAATGCAAGTATATGCCCAGTTAGAGAGGTAAAAGAATGATACTCACTTTTTTCAAAAGTCAGCTTTAAACCAGCAAAGATTACTTCATCTGGGGGATTACTCAGCACTGCTTCTGCATGGAAGTGAAAAGGGCAGGGCTGTCCCTAGTGTAACATAAATAAGAAAGAATGTGCCACTGAGGACCAGGACCAGAGACTGCAGTGTCCTCCTCTCCTCTGTGACAGAACACAGCTGTGGACTTGTCCTAACGGCAGTTGGAAATAAACCCCTGATTCTGGCTTTGTGCTATCTACTTGTTGCTCAATGGCTTTGGTGTGGAGACTGATAGCTCCTAAGTGGATTTGTTTTTGCTTCTTGGATTTTTAGTTTGGGGACAAAATATTTAAATATCTTAATCAAGATCTTAAGTCGTTTGCCCTAAGGTTTTCAGTATGTGTTTTAAAAAAATTCCTGGGATGATTTTGATGACTTTGGTAGCCTGCTGGATGGACCCAGCTTTAAGAAATGCCATAGTTGGAGGTGGGGTTTTCGTGTAGTAAAGACGCTGCTTGAAGTGACTACATCCTGGAGCAGCGTGCCCGTGTTCCAGCCCCATCTCAGCTTCCATTCCTGCTTTCTGCTACTTCACACTCTGGACAGCAGCCACTTGACTCCAGTGCCTGAGTCCCTACCTTCCACCTGGAAGATCTGGATTGAGTTTCTGTTTCCTGCCCCAAGGCTGACCCAATCTTCACTATTGAAAGCATTTAATAAGTGACCCAACAAACGGAAGTTCTCTGCCTCTCTCACTCTCCCTCTGCCTTCAAATAAATACACACAAAATTTTTCAAACTGTAATTATTATTTTTACACTGTAGATTTTCCCCTCCAGGAATATGAAGAAGCATGGGGGCTGCCCAGAGGCAGCATCCATCCATTTTGTCTGTTTGTGTCTTTGTTTCTAAAGGAGCATAGCGGCTACTGATCATGAACCAACAGATGCCAGGAAGTCCTTCCCCTGTTTCGATGAGCCCAACAAAAAGGCAACTTATACCATATCTATCATCCACCCCAAGGAATATAAAGCACTTTCAAATATGCCAGTAGCGGTGAGTATCTTTTCTTCATGTGTTTTGTTTATAATGATAGTCTGTGGATAACATCTGATAGTTTTTATCTGATTTTCTGCAGAAGGGAAACTATTCTAAAACAACATGTGCACTCATACTTTATGTAAAAGACCGAGAATACATGTTGTCAATATCTTTTTCTTTGAATCCTACAAGTTGACTTGAAATATCACAGTCTAGATCTAAAACGAAAGCCACTATGGGATTTTGGAGTAAGAAAGCATACAGATACAATCACTGGGTGCTGCCTAACGGTCCAAATCCTTTAAGCGTAGCAGAGTAAAGGAGTTAAAGACTTATAAATATTTCAGGGCCTACTCAGTGCGTTAAGCTTGGGGTTGAATATAAGCAGTGTTGTTAGGAAGGTAAACTAGTAAATCTGGGTTGTAAAAACCAAGTCCAGAGGACACTATGCCCACAGATTTTTCCAGTAAGCAGGAAGTATTTGTTAAATATTTTAAAAGAGCTTATAGTAATGTCTGCCTATATTAATTTCTGCCTGTGTGATTATTAATGAACATTCGGCTCTTTGTAAGTAGCACTCCTCATGCCCCAAGTGGGCCACAAGGTAAGCCATGATCTCAGAGCCATCACCCCGGGGTGGAGCTTCATCACACTTCATCCAGAAGCGTCAGTCTCATCCTTAGGTGTAAATGACACTTTTTCCCAGAAGGAAACTCATTTCTACACTCTGATTTCTAGTATGTCTGACTTATAAATGAAACATTCCTTGCAAAAAATGAAAACAAACTAAAGAATAAGAAGTTTAAAGCATAAATGCTTATCAACACCCCATGCTTCAATGTGAATTTGTTTTCTTCCACTGTAAAACACTGGAAAAATGAAGTTTTGATTGAACAAGAAAGTCGAACGGTAAACTTATAATATAGACACGCCAGCCCACAGGACTAGAGCAGAGTATAATGCCATCGGGATACTTGGGTGTAAATGAATGGAAGCAACGCGGGGTGAAGATAGACAACCTACCAACCTCTGCTTCAGATTGCCCTTAGGACAGGACTTTCCCATTTAGCAGTTTCACCTTCTCCTAAATCCAGAAAAAGTCCTGGATGAAGGTGCGTGTTGCATGTCATTGGGAGATCAAAAGGAAGACTAATAGGTTTTATCCTGAAGTAACTTGGCTGGATCTTCCACACTTTACTATAAGCACATGCACATGCGTATCAATTCTAGCCCAGCTTCTCCTACTTAATCCCCTTTCAAAGCTGCCACTTAGAAAGTGATGTACAGAGTGTATACAGGAGATGTGGAGATGTCTAAACTACGGTAGCAAGTACTTCTGATTGAAATATTAGAATTCATAACTGGCAGGAAGGACATTAAAGCTGGCATGGACCAAGACGTCCAGATGGATCACTAATTGTATCAAGCAGTGGACTCCTTCAGCCTGTGCATAGCAATCCAGTCTATGATCTTAGCAACCATAATCTGAATCTTCAATGTGGCAACATTCTGGCCTGATATGGCCATTGCCTTTCTCTGCCAATCAAGTCAGCAAACACCTGCTTGGGTTTTTTCTCTAGGACTGTCCATGAAGACATCACAGTATCCCCCTAAAATATTATGATCCTTAATGTGTGTTTAGTGCAGAAAGATAAAGTTATTCAGTGGATCTCACAGTCAAATTTTATTTCTCTCTGAGGAGTCTCACATAGCATATACAATCCCTCTTTCACAGTTTTAACAACAAAAAGAATTTTCCTTCAGTCTTTTCAACATCGGCACAAGTAATTTTATCCCAAACTTTTGACAGGGGACTTTTGACTAGAAAGCAGACTTGGGGCAACCATTTGTTTACCATGTCTGTGATTGCTCTTTGGTAAATAAAGATTATCTTTTGCCTTCAACAGAACCAAGTGGAAGTGGATAGCAACTGGTATCGAACAACTTTTGAGAAGTCTGTCCCCATGAGCACTTACCTGGTGTGCTTTGCGGTACATCAGTTCACGGCTGTACAGAGAACATCAAAGAGAGGAATACCTGTGAGTCCCATTGTGTTTTCAAAATGTGATACCTATTACTTTGTGATTCACTTTCTTCTGTATTTTTTTAAAAATTTATTTTTATTGGAAAGGCAGTTTATAGAGAAAGAAAAACAGAAAGCTCTTCTGTCTGCTGAATCACTCCCCAAGTAGCTGTAATGGCCAAATCTGAGCTGAGCTGATCCTAAGCCAGGAGCCAGGAGCTTCCTCCGGGTCTCCCACAGGTTCAGGATCTCAAGGCTTTGGGCCGTTCTGGACTGCATTCCCAGGCCACAAGCAGGGAGCTGGAAGGCAAGTAGAGCAATTGGGACATGAACCGGTGTCCATATGAGATTCCTGCGCATGCAAGGTGAGGGATGTAACCACTGAGCCATCACACCAGTCCCAATTTCTTATGTTTTCGTGGGTTTTTTTTTTTTTTTTTTTTTTTGCTTTTCACAAAACAGGCCAGAAAAGCCTATTAGTCACCAGAGTCTGTATACTTGGTAATACATTGAACAATGTAGAAAATGTTAAGCTAAAAGGGTACAGGTTAAAAATAAACAAGCACAATACACATGGAGATGCATGGCCTTACATTATTCAAGGAGGAAAAAATTCACTCTGTTTCAAAAGCCAGTTCCTAAGTTCACCAGCAGAAATATATTAAAAAAAAACCAGAACATACCCAATTTATTGAAATGATTGAGTGTATGTCTTAGCATGAAGTTCCAGGTAAAGATCAAAGAGGAAGGAGACTCAAATTAGACAAACGGCTTTTGAGTGGCCAAGTACAAAGCAACCTAAGGTGCCAATCCTTCATATAATCCAAAACAGAATAGCAACAAGGTATCAGAAGCATTTTTTTAAACTAAGAAAACTTACTTTTTAAGATTTATTTATTTATTATTATTATTGTTATTTTGCAAAGTCAGATATATAGAGAAGAGGAAATACAGAGAGAAAGAACTTCCGTCTGCTGATTCACTCAACTGGAGCTGAGCCGATCTGGAGCCAGGAGCCTCTTTTGGGTCTCCCTTGGGGGTGCAGGGTCCCAAGTCAGGGAAATGAAAGAGAAGCAGGGCCATAGAGATATGAACTGGCACCCATATGGGATAATGGTGTGTGCAAAGTGAGGAGTTTAGCTGCTAAGCGACCATGCCAGGCCCTAAAACCTACTTTTTTAATCAAGATGACTAGGTCATCTTTTTTTCCTTTGAAAAATAAAAGTATTTTCTAGTCTAATAAATGTTTTTCATCTTGGAGCTCTTCAGGTGCTTATGCCTGGGATATTAGTCCATCCCGGTGCCATATATCCATATATCTAAACCTCATAATATTTGCAATGTAATTTAAAAAGGAGTAACTCAATACTGCAATTTCACAAATAAGATAATTGAAGCTTAAAGAATTGAAGTCACTGAAGATCCAGCTGGCAAATGATAGAGACTTAAACTCTGAAATCTTTTTCCAAACATGCTATACCTTCGTAAAATAGTTTTTTGTTTTGTTTTGTAAATATCTTCACCTCTTCACAAATCTTGGGTAAAAAGAGATGGGTATTTCTCTTTCTCTCTGTGTTTTCTGTGCAACAGGCTAGCATGTAAATATGCTTTTATTTACAGCAGGGCTAGACTGAGGCACCCTGCTTGTGAATTTTTAGCATGCTATATAATTACCAAATACTCTCTCTTCTTCTTTCCTTCTTCCTTCCTTTTCTTCCTTCCTTTTCTTCCTTCCTTTTCTTCCTTCCTTTCTTTCTTTCTTCCTTCCTTTTCTCTTTCTTTTAATTTCTTTCTTACTTTCTTTCTTTCTTTTAATTTTTTTCTTTCTTTCTTTCTTTCTTTCTTTCTTTCTTTCCTTCTTTCTTTCTTTCTTTTAATTTCTTTCTTTCTTTCTTTCTTTCTTTCTTTCTTTCTTTCTTTCTTTCTTTCTTTCTTTCTTTCTTTCTTTCTTTCTTTCATTGGAAACACAATTACAGAGAGAAGAAAAGAAAGATTTTCCATCCACTGGTTCACTATTTAAATGGCTGTAACAGCTAGAGCTGAGCTGATTCAAATTCTGGTGTCAGGAGATTCTTCTGGGTCTTCCTTGTGAGTGCAGGGTCCCATGGCTTTGGGGGCATCCTCTGCTACTTTTCCAGGGCACAAGCAGGGAGCTGGATAGGAAGTGGAGCAGCCAGGATACAAGTCAGCACCCATGGTATGTCAGCATTTGCAGGTGAAAGATTATTCAACTGGGCTATAGCACTTGGCCCCCAAATCCTATTTCAAGAGGCTAAATGTCATGATGACTCATCTACATTTTTCTTTCCCTTGCCACATATGCTGCTTCAATATAACTTTCATGGTGGTAAACGACACTGCAGTTGCAGGTTATTTCCCTTCAAGTTTGGAGGTGTTATGGTACCCTCAAATCTGGGTTCCCTCACTCAATGCATACAAAGTCAGTCACTGACGTTGGGGTCATGGAAGAGAGTATAGCAAAGTACCAAGCAACCATCTTGGCAGTTATTGCTTAATTCCTGGGCTCCCCAAGCATTACTAATGTAGGTTTTAATAGACTGAAATTGGGGTTGAGAGGTGCATATTCAGTTCACATGCATTCCAAAGTCAGAATACATTGCTTGTGATTTTCCTATGGCCAAGGTTTGAGTCTAGTGATCCAGTTGGGGAGTCCCCCAAGAAGCCTCACCTGAGATGACCTCAGACTTGACTCTTAAGTGTGTCATCCATTGTAGGATCAGGTGGAGTCTGTTACCTGCACTAGCCAATGCATATATTGGTAGATGAAGCTGCCTGGTCAGTTTCACTCAGTTCCATATCTCACATGAACAGATAAGTTCTATGGCCTAGTCCAAACCAGCCTGCCACAAGCCTGGTCCTCACGAACACCAGCCGGTACCATGGCCTAGCTGGGGTGACATCCAATAATCCCTACTAGGCCCAACCTCCAGGCACACTCCCAGCCATGGCTTTTGCATGTGCTTGCATGTGCTGTGGCCTATCCCAGTCCATCCCACGTACTATAAGCTCTCATGTATCAAATGGGTAATCCAGCTTAGCTCAGCTCAACTTGCCCCAAGACAGCCCACACATATGCCAATGGGTGCTGCTACCTTGAACAGCCTGGCCCACACCCAACCCTGACTCTCACTCTCACTAGCAGGAGCTGCAGCCCACTAAGGGAGTGCCCACAGTTCCCCTATCGGGCCAGTTCCCAGCTTTGGATCTTGCACCTGCTGGAGAATATTGTCATCCAGACTGACAGGACTCACACCCAGACCCAGTACTTGTCAGCAGCTGCTGAAGCCTAGCCCAGTTCATCTGTACCCATTTTGGCTTTCTTTTGTGCCTAGCCCAGCCTGGCCCCTCCCCAGATCAGTCACCACCCACCACCACCATCCAGTCTCAGCTCTCACACTCACCAATGGAGTTGTAGCCCAGCAAGGTCTTAGAACACTAAAATAAAATTTGATAGTAATGCCAGGACAAAGCAGACAAGCTATACATTCCACTAATGATGATATAGTTTCATAAATAAGAATACTGCACCAATTAATAGAAGACCTTAAATGTTCAGTTATTTTCTAATACTGACCGTGAGCTTGAATTTGCAGTAATAAATCCTCTGAGGACCTTTATTGGTAAGGCAGCCTCATTAGGTGAGTAAGTCTTTAGATCTTGGACCAGTTAGCTGGATTGTAAGGATGCAGTTTACATAAAGGATTTTCCATAAATTGAAATATGGCAAAATTCCTGCCTGTCGTAAATATTCTTCACTGACTCTTCTTTTTTTTTTTTTAAATGGATTCTGAATTAATGAAATTATCCTCTGGGAAGGAAATTAAGCTAATACCATCATATCACATTTTGATCATCTGTTCAATAAAAGAAGCAAAACTCCTCAGGCTATTAGTTAAGCCACCGGCTAAGGATCTCATTTTGTGGTACATTGGAGCACTTGCATTTAATTCCCAACTCCAGCTCCTGATACCAACCTGCTACCTGTGCAGCCCTTGGGAGGTGACAGTCATGGCTCAAGTAATGAGCTCCTGTCTCTCTCACAGGGGAGATCTGGATCTTATTTCTGACTTCAATTTCAGCAGAGTCTGGGACATTGTGGATATTTGGGGATTAATCTCTGCCTTTCTTTATCTCTCTGCCTGGCAAATAAGTCAAATTCCCATTTGAAACCTCCTAGAGGCCTCGTGTCAAAGGTATTCACTGAAAGTGAGGCTTGAAACTGAACACTTTAAGAACCCTTTCCTCATCTCTTACTGGCTCTTTCGAAAAGGAGGCAACCAGAGCTCGCAGCCTCCTTCAGAACTCCGTGGACTGTCTCCCTTAAACAGTTGAAACCAAGGGTGGGCACTGTGATGCACCAGGTGTGGCTGCTTGCTTGGGGTGCCTGCATCTCACACTGGCCTGCTTGGGTTTGAGTTCTGCCTCTTCAATCCAGCTTCCTACTAATCAACACCTTGGGAAACAGTAGATGGAGTTCCTAGCTTCTGGCTTCACGCTGATTCAGCCTAGCTATTGTAGGTGTTTCAGGAGTGAACCAGTGGAGAGAAGCTCTCTGTCATTCTGCCCTTTAGCTAGCTACATAGATGATAGTTGGATAAAACTTCAAATACAGTTGAGCAGAACCTTACAGGGGAACTTTAAAACATCTGGTGTAAACATTAATGTTCCACAGTAAATTCCTCTTCTTTGGCATTTGGCAGCTTCTCTTCCTGGTTCCCTCCTCTCTCACTCTAAATTGAAATTTAGTAGTTGACACCCAAGTATAGAATGCTCCCTGAAGGACTTCCCACCTTGGAGAGAGAATTGCAGGAAAAACAACCTAATTAAATCTACTGAGTTGGAACAGCAGAGAAAACCCAAACCAAGGTCTTAAGACCTACATTCTTACAGCTGCACAGACAGCCTGAAACAACTGGGGGCTTGGGAAAACAAGTAACACAAAAGAGATAGTTCCAGACAAATGAAAATACTCAGAGCAAGAAACAGTGGTAATTG